CAACAATCGATTTAATGGGCGGTGTATTATCTTTTTCAACGGAAATCGTTTAATTCACAAAGACGATGATTTTTATAAGCAAACGTCAAGTGACATTTCCATGGCAATCGTGAAATTACGAACACCCAGCCCACTTAATTAGACATGTATTCGAGTATAACGTCAATATGACTTCATTGTATTTCCTATTTTTAAATTATACTGCAGGTATAATAAAAAATACTATAAGATACACGTGTATAATTGGTCTTTAGAGCACTTGCAACGTTAAAGGCACTCCGCTTTGCGTCGTGCCCTTAAACTCGTTGCGCGTGCTTTAAAGACTTGATTATACACTTGTATCTTAATATACTATTGTGAGCTAGTAGTGCTGTTTAGGTTTTTGCATTTGGATTGAGTAGGTACGAGTGGGTTGTGATAACGTGGTGTGTTTCTGTGAAGAAGGAGTTATGTGTTTTTTAACTGTGCTAGCGCGTGTAACTTTATTGGGTGGACCTGTCTTTGTAGTACATGTTGCGTTACTTGTATTTATGGTGTTTCTTGGTTCTTGAAGTTGTATTTGTGTGGTTGCTTGGGTTTTTGGTGGAGATATTGCAGTTATTATTATTATTATTATTTGTGAATAAATGAGGATGAATAAATGAAGATTTTGCTCTACCACTTAATCTCCAATTTAATCAAAGAGAAATAACCAACAATTTAGTTCCTTCCCATGACGTAAAAGTGTCCTGCCGTTTTTCCGACGAAATTTGTGAAAAAATGAAGATTTTGCTCTACCACTTAACCTCGAATTTAATCAAAGTGAAGTGGCATAAAATTTATCTTCTTCCCATGAAGTCAAAACGCCCTGCCGTTTTTTTACGACGAAATTTGTGAATGAATGATGATTTTGCTCTACCACTTAACCTCAAATTTAATCAGTGATATGGCATAAAATTTAGTTCCTTTAGTTCTCCCCATCAAATCAAAATGTTCCGTCGTTTTTCCCACGAAATTTGTGAACATCCTCCAATTTCAACAAAGAAAAATGCCATAAAATTTAGTTCCCTCCCATGAAATCAAAGTGCCTTGCCAATTTTTCCACGAAATTTGTGAATAAATGAGGATGAATAAATGATGATTTTGCTCTACCACTGAACCTCCAATTTAATCAAAGAAAAATAACAAACAATTTAGTTCCTTCCCATGAAATGAAAGTGTTCGGTCATTTCTTTGACAAAATTTGTGAACAAATGAAAATTTTGCTCTACCACTTAACCTCCAATTTACTCAAAGAAAACTGGCATAAAATTTAGTTCCCTCCAATGAAATCAAAATGTACTGCCGATTTTCCCACAAATTTTGTGAAAAAATGAGGATTTCGCTCTACCAACTTAATCGTAAATGAGGATTTTGATCTACCAACTTAATCTCAACCTTAATAAAAGAAAGTTGTTGTAAAATTTAGTTCCTTCCCATGACGTAAAAGTGTGCTGCCGTTTTTCCGACGAAATTTGTGAAAAATGAAGATTTTGCTCTACCACTGAACCTCGAATTTAATCAAAGTGAAGTGGCATAAAATTTGGTTCCTTCCCATGAAATCAAAATGTTCTGGCGTTTTTCCCACGAAATTTATAAATAAATGAGGATGAATAAATGAAGATTTTGCTCTAGCACTTAACCTCCAATTTAATCAAAGAAAAATGCGATAAAATTTAGTTCCCTTCCGTGAAATCAAAATGTTTTGTCGATTTTCCCACGCAATTTATGAATAATTGAGGATGAATAAATGAAGTTTTTCTCTACCACTTATTAACAACACATACAATCGAGCATACAATTTAATCAAAGAGAAATACAAAAAATTTAGTTCCTTCCAATGAAATGAAAGTGTCCTGTTCTTTTTCGAACGAAATTTGTGAATAAATGAAAATTTTGCTCTCCCACTTACCTAACCTCCAATATTCAAAGAAAAATGGCATAAAATTTAGTGCTCTCCCATGAAATCAAAATGTAATGCCAATTTTCCCGTGAAGAAAAGAGGATTTTGCTCTACCAACTTAATCATAAATAAGGATTTTGCTCTACCAACTTAATCTCGAGTTTAATTAAAGAAAGTTGGTGTAAAATTTAGTTCCTTCCCATGAAGTGAAAGTGTCCAGCCGTTTTTTCCGACGAAATTTGTGAATGAATGAAGATTTTGCTCTACCACTTAACCTCCAATTTAATTTAAAAAATGCCATAAAATTTAGTTCCCTCCCATGAAATTAAAGTGTTATACCCCACAAAAATTGTGAAGAAATTCGGATTTCGCTCTACCAACTTGAGCTCGATCTTAACAGAAGAAAGCTAAGCTCGAGGCTAAGCTGTAAATTTCCCTCCCATGAAATCAAAATGTCATGCCGCCTCACGAAATTTGTGAATAAATAGGTTTTTGCTCAACCAACCTTAACGAAAGATGATGTAAAATGTAGTTCGTCTAAAAGCAAAGTGCGTTGTCGTTTCGACGAAATGTGCGAATGAATGAAAACAGTGTTCTAGGTTCTACGAACTTGACCTTGATCTTAATCATATCATAGGCAGGTGAAAGATGCAAGTTTCTTTGAAACTGCGTAGCCCATTCCTGTAATATCATAATGTGGCAGATCCCGAATTTGTTATGGGACAATTAACATGATATTCAAGGTGTGATCTAAGCTGAATGAACGATGATTGACATTCAAAAACAGAAGGTTTAAGGTTGTGCGCAGTATTTCGTAAATAAACCACTGACTGGCGACTGCACTGCACTTGTTTGTTAAATTGAACTTGAACTTGTAAAATCAACGCGGTTCGTCTGATATCGTTCGAGATCGTTCAAACTAACCAATCGCAAAATTCGAAAAGCAACCAGTGACATGAGTTTTTTAAAGAAGGAATGGCTAAAGCAAGCTGCAGAACGTAGGTACGTCTGCCCCGCGATGAACAGTTGGTTGCCTATCCTATCTTGACAACAGGCGTTTATAGTAAAATCTACGTTACGCGCGGTCTAGTTATAACAAGTCTCTGATTATAATTCAACACAACAAATGTCAAACCTGACACTGGGTGTCAAACGGCCATTTTGGTTCAATTAGCAGTTTGTTTTTGTCTAATACACTGGCCTAATGAATCGAGTAATCTAGGGACTTTAGTTTTCTAAATAAATTACTGTGACACATGTCATTTTCCAAGGCTGCAATAGTCTCAAAACTTGAGCACTAGGAAAATTCCCCTAGAAAATAAATAAAACGTGCACATCATGGCCGCGCCCATGCTAGGGCCATTTCTACCTCTATGCAACTGTTTGATCAGCAGTCCGTCTTAATTTATAAATTAAGTTCGTGCTTGCAGCGAACCAACGCGGCATTATACATTGATTAAAAATTATGTAATCGATACGCTGTCGTGCATGAATGGATGAATATTTTTAAATAATGGATATGGAGAAGGCAAAGATCTCCTGCACTTGAAAATAGTGGCACAGATAAGATGTCTTTTTGCTCTTTTTGTTGTAGGTACGTCTCCGGTTTAAAAAATTATCTTTTATAGGCTTCGATAATCCGGATATATAGATCGCATGCAATGTATATTTAATAAGGGGTATGCTACGAACGGTAATAAAAGGTCAACAACAAAAGCTTTACATTACGGTATCCGTATTTTAATCGTAAGTAAAGAAGTACAGTTATTAAGAAAATTGAGACGATGAATCTTTCAATTACTGGAATTAAAAGGCTTCATTGGAATTAAAATTTTGATACCCAATAAGACGTAAGTGTGCTTGGAGATTCAGATGGTCCAGAAAATGAGTTTTTACGAATGAAGGCGGAGACGATGTCGAAACGGCTTTTTATAGAAAAGCTTTTTCCTTAATTACTATTAAAGATGGATAGCGTCCAAGTTTAATCATAAAAATTCATAAAAAAAGATAAAATGCAAACACATATAATATTTCCAAATGTACGACATTTTTGGTATTTGTGTTACGTTAATTAACATTGAGAGATTTTGTTATTAAAAAACGATAAATAAGAATTGAGCGCAAAATATTGAGAATTACGTCCGCTGAAGGCATTTCAAAATCAAGGGTCGGCGCGAAGAAAGAGAACGCACCTGTACGCGAGACTAGACTGCGTGACGTCAGTAGCCAGACACATCTGCCGCCTCGTTTGCAGAATAAGTATAGGAATTCACGTAA